TATTAATTACACAGCTATTAACCTTGCATTAGGCCTACATGGTGTTCATTAGAGTTCAGCTGAATACAGTAGAGAGCAGGGAAGTCCCCTGTGAACCAGGATAGGGAGGGGAGGCTGACAGAGGAATGCAGCCTCTTAGAGCTGAACAAAACCAGGCATTCCTCATGGAGGTGTTTATACTGAGCAGTGTGTTGCGGTCCGTCCTCGCTGCATCTGTCAGTGTCTTCATAATGTCCCCGTCAGCAGCGGGCTCATCCAACACAAATAAAACAGAAAAATAAATGTTGACGCTGTGAATAGTTTGGCTTGGTCCCAAGGTAAAGAGAACATATCAATTTTGGCAAAGCGCGAAAAAACATTTTTCTCTTTCTGACTATCTACATTAATTCAGTTAAACCAAGAGATCTGCACAATGACTGTGTTCAGTCCAACAGTAAAAAATGTCAAGACTAATACTAATAATTGGTTTTGTTTTGACAGCCAATTAAAGCTGTGTGTGTGTGTGTAATTAAATGTGAATCCTGCATGAGTCCATGTTGTTATTAGAGAATGCAATAATTAATGGTCCAGTGCACAATAGAGTCTCCCTTTGCTTTTCACAAAAAAAAGCTTATTTTGCCGTTTAGATTTTGAGGTTATGTTAACGTGGGCGACACAAAACCCTGAACCAGCTGAGATCAGAGTCAAAGGTGAGACCTGGACGAGGATGATAAATCTGTACATCACTTTCCAGCAGCAGAGCTACAAACACCACAGGAACTGCTGCTGGCTGCACTTCACACACTCTGAGTCTTTGAAGAGAGAAACTGACTCACTCGGTTTTCTGCTGAAATATAACGACGTTTTCTCCTCTATTCAAAATCTACCTCGTTATCTTTCTACCCTGATTTGTTGCTTTTTTTTTTCTTTGTTTCAGTCAATTCGGCCACTTTGCATATCTCTGTTTTTTTTATATCTTCCGCTCTCTCTCTCTCTCCGTCCTTGTTTCAGTAGAGTGCATTCCAGCAATTCTTCCCTGTCAGTCTCTCACTCTTTCTCATTCGGACTCATTCGTTAGCTGCGGTTGACGGATCCTTGCTGAGACACGAAGACGTGAATCTGCCATCGCGCTCGGCTCATTCCTGTTGGGTTTAATGGTGAAAAACAAATTGCACCTGAGATCATGATACTGTGTGATCTGAATCATTTAAGCTGCTTTTAGACATATATCGACCTCCGGATATTTTCCTGATGTTTTCTGGAGAGAACGCAACAATGTCAGACAAGAGAATGTCACAAGAGCGAGCGAGTGAGCGTGTTGATGAAGTTTCTAAAACACAAAGGATGCAAAACTGAAAAAACCAACAGCAAATATCTCAGGATACAAAAGAGCAGCCATACACATAAGAGACACTGACGGAGACGACGACTTGGACAGACGAGTTTCGAGAAACGATAGATGATAAGGGCCGACGTCAGTGTCGATGGAAAAAAAAAACCCCACGTGATTACCAGAGCTGCATTTATACGTCATGTTCCCCCTCCCCCACGCTCGACCCAGACGCCACCTTTTACCTTCCCAACATTTTCCTGTTGTTGTCAATGCGTCTGGCAAACAGACCCAATTTTTCCAGATGTTTTCTGGAGACCACGTCTGAAAACGGCTTTAGAGACAATTAGAAAAGTTTCCGATCTAAGCTCTGTTATTATTTTTTTGTTGCAACTGCACACAGATGATTAAGAGCAGTTGTTTTTGTGAATCTATCTGTGCTGATGCATTTGCTGGATAAAAACATCAGCCTCTCTCTCTGCACCTGAATCTTCTCATTCAGCCTTTGGATGAGGTTCAGTCACATTCCTGCCTCTGGGGCAGTGAAACCCGAGAGCCGGGGTGAGCTGTCGTACTCGAGGCTGCAGGGGCCGACTAATGACTTCCCATTAGTCCATTAGGTCTGTATGATCGTCTATTATCACAGAGACACGCGCTGAGGAGACTCTATCCCCGGGACTAATCCAGGGTCAGTCGTGTCCTCGACTCTGATGCATGTGACGGCGGCCAAATGTTCACCGTCTGCACAGGCAACATCACACACGTGCACCTACGCAAATCCACGGCCTCTTTGTTCAACACAAATACAGTAGAGCCATGTTTTTTATCTAGACAAGCTCTGGGGTGAAGACCCAACTATGCGATTACTGCGTCAAATTAACCAGTGGAGCTTCTCAGCCGTCCGCGGAAAAATGCAGGAAATCAAATGGCTTCATTGTTCAAATTGAAGATTAGTTCAGGGAGCTGTGACCTTCTCCGGATCCTCTGAAAAGCTTTTAAATATTTGAGGGACTGCTGTCATTTCTCACTCTATTGTTAAGCATAGAGGGGCCTCTGTCCTCCATTCATGGTCGAAAACTGTGTGTGTGTGTGTGTGAGTGTGTGTGAGTGAGAGGGAGAGGGAGAGAGAGAGAGAGAGAGAGAGAGAGAGGGGGGTGTAATTTGTCCCTTACACTTTAACATGTGTAATTTCAGTCTCTGTGTAAGAATGTGATTTTCCTGCGAGATGCACACACACGTGTCTTCATGACTTCAGAGGACATTGCGTGGACTTGCATTGATTTCCTGGATTCTTACTCTAACCATAGTTACTTTACTTGGCTAACTCTAACCCTTACACTAACCTTAACCTAAACTCAACCATAACTTTAACCTAAACTCAACCTTAACCTAATATTAAAACATGTCTTCACTTTAAAATTGAATGATTTATGTTATAGACACACACACACACACACACACACACACACACACACACACACACACACACTCACACACTCTTGTATACTTAGGTACAGGTGCATATGCAGGAGTTTAATGAATGTTTCTTAGATGATGGATGTTCCATTGGACTTGTGGTGAGATGTTGCAGTCGCAGGTGTGTGAGCGAGAGTGAGAGAGCGAGTACAGTGTGATTTGAATGCAGGTCTCTGTGGGAAAATCCCTACCTCTAGTCAAGAACCTGCTCCCCCTCCTCTTCCTCCTCCTTTCCTCCTCCTCCTTAGAAACCAAACATTCATCTTTTGGGAGCCACAACCGGAGCATAAAAATTAAATATGTTTAGACGTGTACAGACGTCTTTTTTGTTACTGTCAGGATTTTAACGGTTTATTGAAAAACACACAGTGTGTAATAAATCCGCCTTAAACTGTTTATTTATCACAAGTCCGGTTTATTTTCTCCCTTTTGAAAAACAAAATGAGAAAAAAATCATAAAAAGTTATGAAGAAGAGAAATGAAGACAAGTTACGTTCTGCATCTATTAATACAAACGGTTTGGATGCAATGATTCATTCCACTTGGCATCACCACTGTTTTCTAACTGGTGTTCTAAGTCTCAGTAAGAACCTGTGGCCTTGGCCAAACGTGCGAAAAAATGAACCTCAGTGTAAATATAGCTCTGTAGCTCATGCAGCTTCCGCCAATGACTCTTGTTAGAAAAACAATGGTGTCCTATTATTCACAGGGCCATGATTGAACTGGAAGAAAAGACAGAGGGGGCATCCTTCTTAGCTTTAGTACAGATGTTTGAAAAACGGTCAGGGTATAAAATAAGAACAAATCAATCCACTAATAATAATAATAATAATAATAATGATTATATAGTTATACCCCCCGCCCCCCCGTCATGTGATGTTATGTCACCTGGTTGTACCAGTCTGGCTGATATTATTATTTTGGGGCCCGGGGTCATCTGAGTACATGCAGAGCCACCGCCGGTTGCATTGTTCAAAAATGTTCCCCAAACACAGTTGACCGCCAAAGGTCAGGAGTCTGAGAATAACCCCCCGTGATATTTAGAAACACCTTTTGTTTCCTGGGAGCGTCGCTTGCGGTGATGCTGAGGTAATAAGAGGAGTCAGTTGGCATGGCAACTATCCCTCTGACCTCTCCAGCAATAGTAGCTGCATAAAGGCCGTTATGCAATAGGCCAGATTTAGAGTTGGGGGTTGCTCATATGTGTTTCTTGCACTTCATAAATATTGTTAATGTTAATTGTTTGTCCTTGACCTTAACAATATAAGATGGTTGTGCTCATCACTGTGCAGAATATGACCTGTTTCAAACATTATATATCTGGATTATTAATTATACTGCACAGTTTTTATTTTGTTTGAATGGTTTGTCTTTAATTTTCCAGAACATTTAACTTTGTGATATTAAGGAGATTATAGAAGCAGCATGATTTGAATGTATAGAAACAAATGGTCTTAAACAAAAGACAAAGTTACGTTCAGGAACATCATTAGCTCAATGAGATCTGTGATATTAAGACTGAGGATCCCTTTTTGCTTTACTGTCTTGTTTACGACAACACGATGTCTTTGATTTGTGCTGGTTTCTTTTGGTTGGATCACGATGAAAGACTCGAGGTCAAGAGAACTTTGCGAGGCCTGGGAAAGAAAGCACAATTTAGATTTTAATAAAATGTTGACCACTTTGCTTTTGGCGTCTTGTAAACCCATGAGGGTTCAGCACTGAAGAAACAATCACTCAGTATAAAGTGGCAAGTGATCATGTCTTTGAGTTTGTTATCCACATCATAGCATGTTTTATTTTATTTCATTTATTTTGTACGAGTCTATGTAATCTTATTATTTTCTCATAGCAGTCTAACTATAAACACTAACTTTTTATTCTTACTCCCTCAGAGTTGCTGAGACATTTCAATCATGTGGCAAAAGCACGATTCAGATCGACAGGGGATGAACAACTGTGTGACAGGACTTGGCTCAGTCTCAGGAATATCTGCATAAATGGTTCCCGGCAGAGGAAACGTTGCTCAGAGCGGCGGCTGCTGCGGGTGAGGCGAGTGCGCAAATCATCGCCCGTTCCACAGGCAGGGGGCGCTGGAGAGAGAGAGAGAGAGAGAGAGAGAGAGAGAGAGAGAGAGAGAGAGAGAGAGAGAAAGCCAAAACCTCCACCATCATCATCATCATCATCACTGCGGCCGCTGCGTAATCAGGCGGCTCCAGGGCTGAGGCGCACCGAGCCACACAGCACGCAGCTCAGTGATAAGACTCCTTGGAAGAAGAGGAGCGCAAACTACCCTCCAGACCTGCCTCGTTATTTCAGCTGCACTTTGAGGACGCACCAGAAACTGGATTCTAATCGACTCTGTTTGAAAGAAATCCTTGGAATAATTTCACGCACTTTACGCATCTCATGGATGATTTTTTTCTCCTTTGTGAATTCTGGACCTTTCCTCGCGTAGAAATGTCCTTGAATCGTCTCTCAACTGAATTTGTTTCTATCAACTTGCGCTTGTAGGCGAGAGCGCACACGTTTTGCGCAAGGTGCACGTCGGAGAAAAAAGTTGGAAGTGTCTTATCATCCTGCGCACAGTAAACTTTAAAAAAAAAAAAAGAGTCTCCCACACGTGAGGCGCCTCTGACCGACCTTCTCCTCCCCGTGCCTCGGACACCTCCGCCGGTGGAGACGATCCACGCGTAAAGGCGCGCGCAGTGCAGAGGAGAGGGAGACTCTCGCGCCTCCATAAATGCCCGGTCCGTCAGAGAGGCTCGAGGCTGGGCAGCAAGATGAGCGCGTGGGTACAGCTCGTGTTGCTGGCGGCGTGTCTGCGGTTCGGCGTGGCCGAGGTGAGTCTTAACCTCCAATCACTGCACCATCCACTTTCACTGGTGCGTCCCCGCTGTTTGTCCTGTTCATGCCACAACATACAGATGTCAGAGGAAGACCTGAACTTAACATAGTCAAGTTTTACAGACACATTTACTTGAGCATAAACTTTTTCTATATAATCTATAAACTTAAGTTAAACTTAACATCATTAAAGCAACTATTTCCTAAGAACTACATCAAAATCAAGAATACAGTGTTTTCAAATTTTTTTAAATGGTCAAATTAGCCATAAATATAAAAGCATATTTATGAGCAATTACGTGTTAGCTGCTTGATACTCGAATGTCCCAAAGGGGATGAATAATCTATCTGTCTGTCTATCTATCTATCTATCTATCTATCTATCTGTCTATCTGTCTATCTATCTATCTGTCTGTCTGTCTATCTATCTATCTGTATCTATCTGTCTATCGGCACAAAGTCATCAATATGTTTATAATGAACACAGCGGCAGAAGACACACACACCAACACGTGGTTTTTATAACTTTTAGATTCAGGCCTCGTGCACCTGCTTCAGTCTATAGTCTCATAATAAAGTCCAGTGTTGGGATCCTCAGCAGAAAACAACTGTTATTCCTCCCATTAACTAACTGGTGCTTAGAATGGATGCCCAGGGGCAGACACATCCGGAGGTCCCTCTCTGTTGCTGTGATGATGAGCCACAGGAAATGGAGGCTGCCATGATGGGCTCTGTTTTTTTTCTACAGCTGGCTGCTCCACGTGGTTTCAGTGGTGCGTTGATGGATGCAGATGATGAACGAGGCAGCGAATCAGTGGTTTAGCACCATCAGACTGCAGCATCATGCTATAAGGGCCACATGTTTGTCACAGCTGCGGAACAGGAAAGGCCTCTTGCGGTGGCACTGTGGGCAGACAGTTGAGATGCACAATGTAAATCATGTGTCTAGCTGATTTTGTGTATTGCACAATAATTGTATATTACACCACATAAAGAAAGCCTGAAAGAAAAGTTCAAGTGAGCAATCAGTATTAAAATGTGGAAGCATGGCTGAAGTCTGATTTTCTGCTGAGGTCAAACAGGAAGACGAAACTTAACCAAGGGTCTGGTCGAGGTCAAGTGAGGCTTGATGTTGGAAAAATAAAAATAAATCTTGGTCTCTTTTTTTTTTTGTCAGTGTCAGAAAGATAGAGTGGATCTGACCTTGTCTCACTTCACATCCTCGTTGTTGTTGAAATAGTCAGTTGAAGTGGGTTCAGCTGCACCGTGGATCTTTGAATCTGTTTCTGACCCTCGCAATTCATCTCCACAATGAGACACCAGTGTCTGTGACCCAGAAAACTAAATGGCCTTTAAACACAGTCAAGTCAGGGAGTAGGGGACTATTGAACAAATCAAAGAGAGGCCCGGCTGTCGTGCAGTCAGATATAGGTGCTGTGGTTTGGCCTGAGGACGGAGTAATCTGGTAGAGCGGAGAATTTACTGTATGCTCTCTACCGTCACCATGACCACTTCACATAAAGTATAGATTTTGTGAAACACGGCTATGATGGATGACTTTAAATTCCTGTCTTCAACCTGTATTTTCATTTTATGGCTTCTGTAGAAAAAAGAAAACTCAAATTTAGTTTTTTAGAGCCAGAGCGTTACAAAAGCTTTGAGCTATACAAGCAGGAAATCCCCCCCTGCGTCTAATTTTAAAATTACAACCAGGAAGTCTGTTGGTACAATCATGTCCCTTAAAAAAGCACATTATCATAAGAGAATGGGATAATTTAAAAGTACACTTGTGTATGAAACACTACTTAGATTCAGAGGGAGCACCAAAGAGGAATCCACACATTTACTTTTTGCATATCATGCGTTAGGCTTCTCTCCAACCCAGAGATAAATCATGACGATTAATTAAAGTCACATTTATTCCCACTCTGCAGTATTGTGCACGTGCAGGAATAGTTCCAGAGACTCCATGTGAAGCCTCACACATGTGCTGTGGCTACTGCTGCTGCTGCGCCGGCAGCAAACTCGACCCCCTAATTATGTACGATTAGCCGTTCCCTCCCCTGCCCGCTGCCTGTACCTGGCATTCCTCAACGTGTCCGACCGGCCTGCAGGGGACGTGCGTCTGCTCCAGGTGATGAATTCTGGATTATGTCAGAATTTATCAGGGAACACGTAGAAGAGCAAAAAAGAAATACCGGACACTTGGACATCACTGCAGCAGTGGACGTCACAGGGAGCAGTTGTGTGTCTGGTTGTAAGACAGCGGTGCTGCGGAAAGTCTTCAGTGTTACTGTGGATACACACAAGGCCAACATCACGTTACCTAATGTAACAGCTGTGTCTGCTTCATCAGCACCAAACAGACCAACTGCTCCAGATTCAGTCGAGTGATGAGACTGATTCTTCTTCTCTGTTCCCGAGAAGTTAAAGCATCAGACCTGAATATTTTTAGATTCTAAAGCATTTATTCTACAAAACATGTGATTTGATTACCCGAGCTTTAGGAAAATGTGATTTACATTTTTCATCATTCCACCTCATGTTGTACAGACTAAGCAATTCATTGATTGACTGAAAAAATAGATCACAAATCTTTGTTCTGGTTTTATTTCTTCTTGTCAAGCACTTTAAGAAAGGTGCTATATTAATACAGTTGATATTATTATTATGATTATTATCATTTGTAGTTTAGTTCTCAATTACAGGACACATCTTTGTTTCAGTGAACATTCAATATTTTATGATCTTGATATATTTAATGTATAAAATCTCGTAGCTACACACCGAACATCACCATCGTGTGTTTACATCTTCTGTCTGTGCAGTTTGAATCTGTTTACATCTGTTTTGTTTATCGGGAACCAAAGTGTTTATTTAATATTTCCTGCTTAGACACAAATCGTCATGACAGCAGGCACCAGCGTGAACAAAAGGCACACATCCTATAATTAACAGCAGACACAATTAGCCAGGCAGGTTGGCTGTGTTGTCGAGGGGAGGAAATAATCATGATGACTCCTCAGGGGCATCGACGGCTCTGCAGCAGAGATGTAAGTGTAATACAGCAGGCATTTCCCCGCTGGATGGTTTGAGTCTATGGAAAGCTGAGCAACAATGGGGGAGAGTCAGAGGCGTACAGTAAGGGCCGGGTGAGAATACATGTTCATGCATGGATGGCTGCTTCCTTTGGCTAAAACTTACTTCCTGTCGGTATTCTTCCTCAGTGGAATCGCACAATGCTCTGAACTGAATCCCTGTTTTAGAAATATAGTTTAGTTTTTAGTTATTGTGTATTTCCAACTGCTGACACACGTTAATTATTAGACGGTACGTCCGTTCACTGGTGCACGACGAGCTCCTCTTCCCCGTTTCATCTCAAAGCAAATGAAGCACATCAACCGCATTAAAGTCACCGTGAGGAAGCGTGTCGACCCACGTCTGATCCTTGTCAACTTCAACCCGTCTCTTATTCATCCATTATCCCTCCTCTTTTTCAGATGCACCTCTCCTCTCTCCTCCACTCCGTATCACTCCTTCCCCCACTTCCTGACTCCTTCCTGGCTCCTTTGACCCCTAAATGTTAGCAGATGAGAAGACACAACGCCAATAGTCATTCAGCCTGCTCTTAGTGACCATTGTGTGTCTGCTCCGGTTAATACGCCTGTCCCCCCCAGCTCTCTCTCTCCACCCCAGTAATGCTGTTGGGGGTGGGGGGGTTCTTAAACCCACATTCAGTGCACAGAAAGACAATGTGGAGCTGTTGCTTGGTTTTTATTGTTGTGGTGATGTGGAAATATTTTGTTGAAAGCAGGTTGTTGAAGGATAAAGTTAATATTATGTTGGCTTTTTGTCATTATCAACACATAGTACCTGCGGAACCTAACAACAAAAGAATATATATACATGTCAGTATTATATATTAGGATATATAAGATCAGTTAATATGAGCCTTTCACAGACATCTTGGTATAAACATGCAGATATACATTTTAATTTATTTATATCGTGTTCAGCATCCGCTCTAATTCAGTCTTTATGAAGTGTTAACAGGCATCGTGGATGTAAAAAAACTCTTCACGGCTCCAGAGAGTATTAATCAATGACATTAAGTAATATAGATAAATAATAAGAGTGGGGTGGTAGGTTGGAGTTTCTGTCTTTGGTTTTGATAGAACAGATAAATAGTTAAGACACATGTTATTAAATTGTGTCAAAGCTGTTTGTGTGTAACAGAAGAGGAGGGGAGGACATCTTTTCCTCCCAATTCCATTTCCTCTGACAAATTTCTTTGTACAACTCTTGTGTCGAAACAATCATGTGCTGTCTTTCTTTCTGCTTTTCCCACTATTGTAGTGAACAACATCTTATTTCTTTGGTCTCTTGTATATTGATGAATTCCTGCTCGTGTGTTTCAGGGGGAGCCTCTGCCTGCAGCCCTGGTGGAGCTGGTTAGAAACAGCCCCATCACGTCCATAGAGGACCTCCAGCTGCTGCTGCTCTCTGACTCCGTAGGTAAAGATCCCAGCGTTCTATTACTGTTGCAGACGTGGACACCATACAACAGCAATATAACAATCAACAAACACTTTTCACTTGATCACCTATTGCATCAATTAAACAATTTCTAATTGTAAAAAAAAATGTTTTACAGTCTAAAAGCATGGCAGCATAGACACTACATGTTGTACAATACACAAGAAACATCCTGGATCCACACCTCCCTGACCTGTACTGCACACTTCCACCAAGTATACAGGAATCCTGCTTAAAAATGTCTGTAAAAACAAATCTAGTTGATGCTGAATAATAATCACAAAGTTAGAGAATAACAACAGTTGTAAACTGAAAACTAACATAACAACAATTAGCAGTTACTTCTTTATAATTGACTAGTAAACATCATTAGTGGTAAAACCAACAAACACACACACACACACACATACACACACTCCAATAACTACCCCCACACCCCCTTTGTTTTTTGTTTCTCCCTCTCCACACATGCAGGGGGCGCTAGAAGGCCTTGAAATAAAATCCCCGACACGTACCACAATCAGATTTTATGTGTACATTATGTGACCATGTTTAGTCAAATGCTTTACTTGTCTTATGTCTTGTCTCAGACGAGGAGGACGAGACCTCTGCAGTCAGTGGAGGTCACAGACTACCAAGGAGCCTCGGTGAGCAAAGCCCCCCCCCCCCTTTCCTCTTTGTTCCTCCTCAGTTATTTACCAGTGTCTTGTTCTGCTCACAGTGTTTATTGTATATCATGAAGGACAGAGACATTGCTGCTATTACTCTCACATTGTTTCTTTAAAATAAAAATAACCATCGTGGCGTGGCTGAGTTTATTCGGATGAATGTGTTCTTATCCCCAGAACTAGATAAATAGACGGTTGTAGTGACGGAGCCGAGGATTCCTGATTTTCCTCATCACACTCTATCATCATTAACAAAGGGCAGCGTTTCTCAGAGTTGATTTATGTGACAAGTATGTTTTTTTTTTTGTGACACGGTGAAATTCTTCCCATTAAAGCTCACGATAAAGCAGATGTCTAAATTTCCAGACATCCATCTACAACAGTGTGGCTGACATCGGAGGATTATCTTTAATTACATGAAGAAAACTGTCTCACATCACACACACAAGTTTTATTTCATAACCCAGCTGCTTGTATCTGGCAGTAACAAGCTGTATTGCATGTTGTGTTGCTGATGCAGGATAGATTTTATTTTCATTTGAGCTGCATAAGTCATTGACGCTATTGCATGAACCCGAGCTCCCCGTCATACTTACACACAAAAATCTAATCTGGTCCCTCAGATGCCCAACCGGCCCAGCAGGCTCTGTGTAAAATACGTACAGAGGTGGTTGAGGTTACCAGGGCCATGTTGGATCGTAGCAATGCTAACTTCATGTTATGGCCACCATGCGTCGAGGTGCAGCGCTGCTCCGGCTGCTGCAACACCAAGAGCCTGCACTGTGTCCCTTTCGTCACGCACACCAGACACTTGCAGGTAGACGACCGCGGGCACAGATTTTCATTGTACATACATGCGCTGTGTTTTTATTATACTGCTAATCATCCCTCTTCCTCCTGACCTCCTCCTGCAGGTGATGAAGATCGAATACATTAATAAAAGACCCACTTACACTAAAGCAGTGGTGTCCGTGGTGGATCATGTGGAGTGCCGATGTCAGCCTGCGCCACGCGCCCCAGCGCCCAGGAGAAAATCATCGCGCAGGCAACACGGCCACCAACATCGAAACCAGACACTCAGCCAAGAACACGGACAGGTACAGAGTTAACGCTCTCTTTTAACTCTTAATTCAAACCTCAGCACAGACTTGTTGACTTGAATTAATAGTTTCTCTGGCAAGATTTTCCTTTGAAAGAAAATTTTCCAGACACAAACTATAGCCCAATAATCCAAATTACATTTTCTTGAATCTTATTGTCAAAGGTGAAGATGCCCTCCAAGGATGAGCTCCATCAGTGGGATGAGTTGAAGCAGAACCAGAGGGCCCATCTGGAGGAGCTGCTGGAGCAGCACTGGAGCCCCAGAGGAGACACCTTCACTCAGCCTGGAGAAGGGTACAGTCTGGCTGGGGACGACATGTCTCGGTCTACTGGAGAGGCTGTTCTCTTGTCCCCACACTGGACACATAACTCCAGCAGGCTCCACGGGACCAAAGACCGATCTGAGAACCCAGAGAACCTGGAGAGGGAGCTGGGTAGGATCGCAGATGGCAACAAGACAGTTTCCTCAGTGGATAACGTTGGTGTTGAGGTAAAGAACAAGTCGGTAGAAGGTGGGAGTCGGTCACTGCTCAACAGTACTGAGGGAAAAGTAAATGAGGGAAACGGGAGCAGAGACAAAGGAACACAAACGCAAGTCCCATTATTGCAAGAAGACAAATCCAAATTTACAAAGAATCACAGGGGTGGCGTCTCACAACCTGTTACTGAAAACCCTCAAGTCAAACTCAGTCTTACTGAGGAAACCATTAGCGAGAGACGTGGGAACAGGTTGCGGCCGACGAAGGAGCCAAATCCGGAGCCTCGAGAGCTGGCGAGACGGAGAGAGAACGAGACTCCGGAGGAAGAGAGGATACTGCAGATTGAAGAGGCAAAACTGGAGGAGGAGAGGAAAGAGCTTCTTCTCCTCCACAAGAGGTTGGACCAGGAGAAGGAGATACTGAGACAGCAGCAGATGAAGCGAGAGGAAGAGGAGAGGCAGAAAGAAAAGGGGGCAGACAGTCGACATCACCTGAATGGTCAACATCACCATCATCTGCAAACAACAACACAGAAACCAGGTAATGCATTTTTGTTTTGTCTTTCTGTTTATCGTTATCTCTTTTTTAAATGTATTTTCCGTAACATGTCAATTTTATCCTAATAGAGACGACAACGTCTACGACTACCACACGAAAGCCCTTGGCTCCAGCGGCCCCCAGACCTCCAGCTCGTCCAAACCACACAAAGAGGAGGATGAGGAAGAATCGCAAACGCATCAGCAAGGCAGCTATGAGAGCGATGCTAATGTAGAACTACAGTACACCCAGGTGAGTTGACAGAACACGAATGAAATTACTCTGAAATGAAAATAATTGAATGAAACCGTGGTGTAAGTTTGTGTCCTGTATCCCCCCCCCTACAGGGACACAGTGTGAACTTGGTGTATTTTGTGGATAATCCAGAGGTGACGCAGAGTGACTCCCTTCATTTAAGTATTTATTCCTTCATTCAGTAACCTGCTCGTCCTGTGAGGTCTCCTCCGTAACACTACTAATGACTGACCGGTCAACCTGTAAGTACACCTGGATGGAGTGAGAGGAAAATGGAATATAAATAAAAGTATTTTTTGAAGAGAACACTCGTCAACGACGACAGTTACCGGTGGCGCCGAGGTCTGAGAAACTGTGTGAACGCACGACACATCTGGACGACTGAAACTGCATCACTGTGGATAAAAGTGCAATTTCAGAACTCTACTTGGAAACATGTCTTGATATCAAAAGAGAGAAACTGCACTTATATATTGACAAAGCTGAGTCTATGCGGGGTTTGAATGACAAAGTTTGTTGGACGTGAAAATGGACAAAACTCTTCAGTGTCACGACAGAATCCATTGTAATGTAAGAGACATTCATTCAGTGGACGGCCGTGACAACAAACGCTGACTGAATTGACCAATATTTCCACGTGTGATACAGCTCACATGTTTCAGACTCAGTGTTGACTACCTTGGGGGGGGGGTGAAGCCGTGTGGATTTACCGTACTAAGGCCTGATATCATTTATTAGCTCATTAAAACAGTGATGGTCTGTCTTTAACCATATTTAATTCTATTTAACTCACTGCAAACACTGGAATTACACAGATG